CGCCATCTCGTATTAAATTTAATAATTATAATTTAATTAAATAATTTTAGATTAAACTGGAAGAAACGAATCGGCCTGGAGCGGGAGTAGCGGGTTCGGATTCCGCTCCGGACCGATTCTTGTAATATTTATCAGATACGAAAATAATTGTTATAAATATTAATTTTTAATCACTACTATTATTTTACCTACATTTTTCTCACTGAAGAATAAGTAATTTATAATTAATATATATATTTAAACAGAGGATAATAATTTATGCTTTATGTACAGCTTTATATTAGTTAGTATTTGACAAGAAAAAATATATAAGAATATATTTTAGAAAGTATCTATAAATTCTGAAACAGTTGTTTATATCAAGTCAAATCTTTACGTTTCTCTTCGAGAAAGATGAATAGGAGTACAGATGCTATTCGATGGTCAGTAAAGTACGGTTGAAACTATCGATTCTTATGGAAACTATCTGAAAGATAAGAATACTTCTACTGTTATAGAATTTCAATATTCTAGTAAGAATATTGAAATTCTAAAAGAAATTCTTCAAGATTCAAATGGGAAATCATTTTTTTTTGTATTATATTTCTATCTATATAATGAAAACAAAATTTATATTTTATATGTATATAAATGTTTAACGAGAAACTAACTCTTGAAGGAAATACAGTTATTTTGATTTAAATTTTGTTAATTTTAATTTTAAAACATAACGAGAGATGGCGCTACAATAAACGTCTAACAGAACGAATTTTTTTTTTTTTTGTTAAAGAAATAATAAAATAAAATCAGAAAAATTATAATAATTATAAATATAAAAAATGTAAATTATCTAACTTATTATTTTTATATAAAATATGCTGTTAAACTTTTAAAAATTATAAAAAAAAGTTCGAAAATTTAATAGACTTAATCAAATTTTGTATAAAAAACTTAGGCTTTTAATTATTTTTTTATAAACAGAAATGTATAAGAGAAAATATTTATTAATTGATTAAAAATAGGCCGTTAGACACAAAAAATATGAAATAATTATTTGTAACTAAGTGATATTTTATAGAAATAACACTTTTTGGTGCTTTCCTATGCTGTTTTGTATTTGATTTCAGTCTAAAAAATATATGAATTTTATTTCTGAAATTGGTTTAAATTAAAATTTTCTGCTTATTTATAATTATAAAAAGGAAACGTTACACAGAATTTTATTTCAGAACGTCAATGTATTTTTAAATGGCAGACGTTTCAATTCTGTCATACTAACATAAATATAATACATTAGAAAATTACTGAAATTTAACAATTCACACATCAATTAATTTTTTGTCTCTGTGTTATGAAATAGCCGATTTTCATGGAAAAGCATAATGATTGCTTATTGTTTCATATTGTTTCATATGAGAATCGAAATTACAACTATAGAAATTTTTAATTATACACATATTAATTTTTATTATAATAAACTTAATATTTATACTGTATATATTTGTTGATTTTACTTAAATATTTTTGCAAATTTATATTTATGCACTTAAGAATATCATTTTCTTTCTAGTATTTCGGTTTACAAACATTAAACGATGCCAAAAGTATTTCTATGGTAATAGAGATATATTTTTCTTTTTTTTATTTCTGTGCTCTTGTTTTTTTAACAGTATATTAAAGTAATTTCATAATTTGTAATAATAAAAACGGTAAATGTAGCAAATGTAATGGAATTAAATGATCAAGTTATAAAGAAACGTTAAAAACTATTGATAAAAATGTATTTGTGAGTTATTTATGATGTAATAATATATATATACATTCTTATTAAAAATATAAAACATTTTGTTTTTAGTTTCAAATTTTAGTGACCGACAATTAAGACTGTTGTGAAATAGGTTTTAACAATTATTTCAATTTGAAAAGTAAACTTGTATAATTTATATTATCTAATTAATATTATTATAAGGAAAACGAGAAAATATAATATCCTTTATTTTTGTTTTATTTTAATATTAGATATGTTAATGCCTAATTTTATGAAATGTTTCATATAACATAACAGGAAAACATCGAACGTGTTGAACAAACGGAGTAAAAGCCTGTCGTTTCTAACATTTAAATTATTAAAAACAGATAAATCACAGTTTCAATTTGTAATATATTAGTCGAAAACTTTCAATAGTTTGATGATTCTCGGGATTAAAAGAACAATTGCTGAGTGCATTTAGAGAGTAAGTGTAGATAACTTACTCACTAATTGCTCTAATTTCTCACTAAATAAAATAAAATATTATGAAATGCAGCACTATTGCACTCAGCAACAGTTTTGCATTTCATTATATTTGATTTTTTCGGCATATTTTTTACTTCTAAGAATCATTAAACCACCGAAACTTAAAAGTTTTCTACTACTGTAATCTCTAATAAATTACAACTTAAAATTGAAATTTATCTATTTTTAATAGTTTAAAAGTAGTTAAAGAAGCAACAAAAATCACATATCACATAGAATTGACGCGATAATGTAGCTAAATCTAGACATATGCATTCAAAAAATATAATTAAAATAATTTACTATTGATTAAATGTTTCCAAAGTAATTGAGAAACTTTAGACGCCATTCTTTTTCTGTATTACATGATAGTTAGTATTTGACAAGAAAAAATATATAAGAATATATTTAAGAAAGTATCTATAAATTCTGAAACAGTTGTTTATATCAAGTCAAATCTTTACGTTTCTCTTCGAGAAAGATGAATAGGAGTACAGATGCTATTCGATGGTCAGTAAAGTACGGTTGAAACTATCGATTCTTATGGAAACTATCTGAAAGATAAGAATACTTCTACTGTTATAGAATTTCAATATTCTAGTAAGAATATTGAAATTCTAAAAGAAATTCTTCAAGATTCAAATGGGAAATCATTTTTTTTTGTATTATATTTCTATCTATATAATGAAAACAAAATTTATATTTTATATGTATATAAATGTTTAACGAGAAACTAACTCTTGAAGGAAATACAGTTATTTTGATTTAAATTTTGTTAATTTTAATTTTAAAACATAACGAGAGATGGCGCTACAATAAACGTCTAACAGAACGAATTTTTTTTTTTTTTGTTAAAGAAATAATAAAATAAAATCAGAAAAATTATAATAATTATAAATATAAAAAATGTAAATTATCTAACTTATTATTTTTATATAAAATATGCTGTTAAACTTTTAAAAATTATAAAAAAAAAGTTCGAAAATTTAAGAGGNGTTTGTTATATTTTCTGCTTTAATATTTTTCTGAATTTGAAATCCTTTCAATTCTTCAATTTCTCACAAGTGATATAATTCTTGCGTGTATATGTATTTATTGACATAAAAATTTAAAATTTTATGAATTTTAAGAGTTATATAAATTAGATTTTCATTATGAATGAAACTTATTGAACAATCAAGGTTAATTTTTAAGAATAGATTGATGTAATTATTTTAGAAAGTTTTAAAATATTATTTATTATTTAGAATAAGTTTATAATAGTAGTTTGACTGTGTTCGTTCTACACAGTCAAATTAATAATATATTTTTCTTCAATTTTATTTTATGTAAAAAAATAACAATTAAAAAACAGCATAGACTGTTCAATGATAATTCTAAATTAATCTAAAAAATTAATTAAGATATTCAATAATTGTTCGACGATTAGTTTAATAAATAATACAAACACCATCAATGTCCTTAATTTAAACAAATTATTCTTTCAATCATCATAACAGCGTATTTCTATTAATAGGGCTTATCACACTGGTGTTTACCACCACCAATCACCATAACAGTGTATTTCTATTAATAGGACTTATTTCTTCCAATCACCATAATAGTGTATTTCTATTAATAGGACTTATCACACCAGTGTGATAAGTCCTATTAATAGAAATACACTGTTATGGTGATTGAAAGAATAATACAAACACCAGTTTTATTATAATTTTAATTTTTATTGTTATTATCGTTCTTAACAAAGGAGACATTATATTTGACTGTTTTTAGTAATCTTATTGTTTAATTTACAAATAATTTTTGTCATTTTCTTTATTTGTTCATTATTTGAACTGTTCATCAAACAATTATTTATAATTTTCTTGATAACAGTGATAAAAAATTAGTAAATTTTAAACAAAATCGTTCCTAAAAATCAATTAATAAATAGGTCTAATAATAAAATAAAAATGTATATCTGAGATATTAACTGATATAATATATCAATTATTTTTAATTGTTTTAACTAAAATATTTTTAATTAAAATTTTTGATAAAGAATTTAATAATCAAAGGAAATTATTTCAAAAATATTTTACAGCTCGATTTCACTCGGGCAAAAATTCCATTCAAAAATAATATAAGTGAAAGAGTGAAAAAGAGGAAGAGAGAAGCAAAATTTTCTTATTGGTGCGGGTGGAATAAATCCTTAGAATACGATTCGGACTTTTAACGCGAATAAGATATAGATTCACATATCGTTTGTATAATGGAGCCTGAAGAAGTTATGAAGATGCAAGTACAGCATGCCAAACACCCACATAGTGGCCAACCCAAGGACGGATGAAAAAAATTTCCCTCGCACCTCCTCCTAACTCAAATTAATTGCTTTATTCACCATTGTGCAAGAATCATAACCGATTTAGTGGTAAGTGAGGCTTTTCTATATTTTTCAAAAAATTTTTAACATTTTTTAAAACATTCTTTTTATTTTAAACGGAAGTTAACCTGTAGAAAACCTATTTGCGACGAACGTCACATAATTAAGATGTCGCACGCCGATAGGTAAGTGATATGGGAGATTGTCAGTCACGTAGCGAATATGGCTCTGGTATTGGTCGATACGTTAGCTAATAGGGCGTGAGTATTCGGTCGGTGTCCGATGAGGTTGCCTACTATTGGTTGGAAGAGGGAGGAAAAGATGGAGTTTAAATACCGGAGAAGAAATGAAACGGAACCAAGTAAATAGTTGCGATAAGTTTTGCTTAGTTGGGAAAATAGAAACCAACCGTGATAATAATACAGGTGAGTAGTTCATACTTTATCAATTGAATCTCGTAGACTTAACTTCAAAATGTGAGTTAGAAGAAAGCTTTTAAAATAAATTTCTCATTGATTAATAGCAATAGCTATAAATAGGAATGTCTCAAACATTTAATTAATATAATTTCAAAATATTTATGTATAATAATTTAAATATGCTTTACTCGTTTAATTTGATAGAGTTAAAAATGGAAATCCCCTTTAAAGTAATCTTCTCATTAAAGCACACATTGATACTGTGAAGTAATTCTTCAGGGATTTTTCTGTTTTGATTTCTCATTATTGAAATACGTAGTTTATATTTACTTTATTATTATATAATTTGTGTGCGTATACATGTTTATAATTTAATATATTATGTTTCGAATATTCTAATAAAGAAAAATGGTCACACTATTGTTATTAAATTTTACCTAATGATACATAAAATTAATATTTTTTTTATTTAAACTTTAAAATAAATTTAAATTAAGTTAATATCATATTTTAAAAATAACTCTTTGATAACTTGTCTATGTGTAAATGTTTCTTTGGAACAAAATAGTTAATATTTAAAAAAAATTACTTTATCAACTAGAACTACCCACATGACTTGTTATGAAATTTCGAAATTTAATCGTTTTAAAACAAGGTTAATTGACCCAAATATTTAATTTGTAATTTTTATATTTAAAAATTTCAATTTTTTTTTAATTAAAAAAATTAATACTAGACATTACATACCAATCGTTCAAAACGTTATATTTCTATTAACTTAGCCACGGGTATAAAACTAACATAAAAAAGCTTAATCATTATTAAAAAATGACAAGATTTTTATCACAGAAAAATAATTCAGATTAAACTAAGCACTTTTAAGTAAATATTTAATTGCTAGATTTAAAATATTTAAAAATATATTAATTATTTAAATTATGATTAAGATAACTGATAGATTTTAATATAAACTAAATTAAGATTTCAATTAAATTTATTAATTATATTGATACTAAAACTTAAATTTAAAATAATCTAAGATTTTAGTTATTTCAATTAATTTTGAATGCTTCTTTAAAGTTAGAAAAAGCTTATGGAAGTGGTCAACATGAAGATAATTTCATTTCTAATAGAAAAATGTATAAACATGTCGAAATATTATCATCACACTATAAAAATTCGATTAAAACATAGACTAATATATTCCATTTATAATTATAAATCATTTATAAGTACAAATTTATTCGTAAATTTTAATTATCTGTTTAAAATCTAGAATTTCTTTAATATTTGTGTTCATAAATATAATTAAGTTTAACGTTTAAACTGCTAAACAGATATTCTTTAATATGAGATTAGACAATTACATTATCTTGTTAAATCAAATTAATAAGAACCTGTGCAACTTAAGTAAAGCCTTCTGACTCTTTGCAAGATTTTAAATTAAAGTTTTTCAAAAGTCTATATTTATTTGGCTTAACTAACTAATCTCTAGCGGAATAAGTCAAAGTAGAATATTAATAAAAGCTGTCACACACCCGGTTAAATAAAACCAGGTCATAACTCGGTACTGATAGATGAAACATCTGAATTTATAACATAACGTAGATGTAACACTTAATAAGAAAAAAAATTTAGAAATGACCGTTTTAATTTGATTACAGTTCTGGAAAGAATTACATCTTGTAATAAAAAATAATTAGATTAAAAAATATTAAATTCTGAAGAAATAAAAATAAGTAAAATAACACACAATAATTAAATGAAACAATACTAAATAAATACATATTTTAAATGTACTTACATGGTTAGTCATAAAACTAAAAATCATTCCATTATTTAATTAATTAAATTTTATTTTTATAAATTTATTCACAATCGTGTCATTTACAAAAATCTATAAATGAACTTCAACTTACGTAATAATCTATTAAAGAAGAATTTTACACCATTTTCTCTTGATTAAAATTAATAATAATGATAAATAAAATAAATTTCGCTTTCAGATCACGAGCGATCTTGCTTGGTTTATAAATTTTGTATTTACTTAAGCTTTAAGTTCCTCAAAAATAAATCATTTATTTTACAGTTAAACATCTCATATGATTAATGTAAGTAATGATGCAACAGCGAACTCGAAAATCATGAATAAAAATTTGAATAATTTATATCTTTAAATTAATCGTCACGAAAAATTAAAAAAAAAAACTTATTTCTTTTTCGTATTTTTCTTGTTTAGAAATTAAGAAAAATCTCATTTGTAACGAGATTTTTCTTAATTTCTAATTCTAAGATATATTGTAAAGTGATCATTCACTTCGTTAATCGAAGGCCATTCTACTAGAGTAACATTCCTGCTGTCTATTTAGTTACTGACAAGATAGCCCGAAGCTGTGGGACAAGGAAAGTTTGTGGAAGTTTACAGTAATTATTTATTTTTGAAGAGTATAGTAAGAAGTAATTAGTTGGCATCACCCATTTAAGTTCTAAGCACGAGCTTGTTTGTTAAATATACGCCTCTCAACGAATGATATATATGATATATACCAAAATGATAATAATTAAACTTTTCCATATTTAAAGATCTTTAATAACATTTAAAATATAACAATATTTCGGTGGTTGTAATTAAATAAATGATGTAAATAATTTTTCACTTTTATTAAGTTTAAATGTAACTTATATACTCCAATTTTCCTTTCATACTTATCAAATATAAAAAGTAATGACCGTAATAATCAAAATTTTAGCAAAGAAAAAATGAGTTCTAAATAATAAAAATAATTTTTATTTATTTATTTATTTATTTCATAAAGAACGTTTGCGAACACTGATCTTTATGGAAAAATTTACATTAAATAAGATTAGTCAGAATGCCAATTGAGATTTTTAATCAAAAAATAAATAATTAATTATTATTATTATTATTAAACTAGAATTAAATGACATTACTGTATTTTGATCAGGGAATGAGATTTGAAATCCTCAAATTTTGCAGTTTGATCAATTCTGAGTTTATCTTCTTTAGTTTCGCTTATAAAAGAAATGTCTGGCCCAGTTTCGATATCAAACTACAAACCAATTACTTTATCATTTGGCCGGGAGCATGCAACTACATTAAATCCTCCCATACCTAACGGACAGGTGCGCCTCTTTCTCCCATTTTTTTAACCATCAACGCCTGGCGACCGACTATCGTTGAATTACATATTTTTCTACACGAATTTTCTCAATGCAGTTCTCATAACATAAATAAATATATATTGCATTTTTATAACGATCAAACAAATTGATAAAGTAAATTGTAAAGGAAAAGGCGTGTCTTCGATTTGTAATATATTTGTAATTTGGCACGTGTAAGTATCGTTGGTTGTGGCTTGAAAAGTCGACGCCTGTATTGACCTTGGATGTTTCACGACCAACAAGGACTGTCGTCTTACGCTTGTCTAATGAGGGGCAGAGTGATAATGTTTAGATAATAGAAATCTGCCGAGGCACAGTTTTATGATGAACCCACATTGTTTCTCCCCGAAGTGGGAGTGTGCTTTATTGTTATCATCATCTAACGATTCATCTTCGAAGAAATTCTAGGACAAACTATTGAGAACATAAATGAATAAAGTAACTTTTTCTTTTGTTAGATAATGAGGAATTCATTTAAAAAAAGTAATTTATTATGTTGTTTTCTCTCATTTAAATTGGTAGATTTTCAGGATATATTTATCGTTAAATTTAAATAGTTTTCAGCAGGAATTTCGCATTAATCGAGTTAGATAGAATCGCTGAAAAGTGTCGAAGTTAGCTTTGACGAGTGCTGACACGTAATTTGCTACTAGTGATTTACGATTACTCGAACCAAGATTTTTACGAGGTAGGGACTACACCCAAATTCCCTTTAGGGAGAACGATAGCTTGAGTGGGAAATTGTCTGATCCTTAAGTTTTAAATTATTTTCACAAAATCCGAAATTATCTTCGAGATTAATTAATTTATTATTTAAGTTATTATTCAGTTTTAACTTTTTTTTTTTTTGATTTTGCATATTGCTTACAATTCTAATAAATTTTAGCATTAGTAGTTATAAAACGCTTTTATTGAGATATATTTTTAGCAGAATATTTATATTAAATACAGGAATGCCATGATTTAGATCTAGTAATAAGAATTATATGTATATATGTTCGTGAGTTAGTTTTGTAACTAATATAAATATAGGCCTAAATTTTATTTTATTTATGTGTAAGTTATGTAAAATTTTGTTACAAGTATCCGACTTTCTATATTTGAAACTGAATATTTATTCAAATAAACTTTACATCGAAACACTTTCTCCAAATAAATATTTAAAAGGTGCTTTATTACAAAATTTTAATATCCTGGAGAATTATTTTGAAAGCAAAAAGTTGTTTTAACGAATTAAAATACATTGCATTCATTTAAATATCTAAAAATTTAGCATGATATAATATACTGTACGTTTCCTGTACGTAATATACGTGTACTGTAATGAATTAGGCAGATAAAAAAATAATTAATATAATTTTTATGGTCAGCTTAGAATAATTTTTAAAATCACAAAGGACTGTAAGGCATATTATACAAATATATGAAATTTCATAATTGCTTTAATTAAAATATGCAAATAGTTATAGAATTTCTTTTATAAAATAAATAAAAATGCATTCTCTACGTACAGTAATAGTACATACAATATTTCGTATTATTCAAAGAATTCGAATTATAAGATAACTATAATAAGCAAATTTCGATAATTGGTAACTTATCCATATGAACTTTTCACTTTGCATATAATTTATTTATCGAAGAAACATTTATATTATAATATTTATAATAGAAAAATATCTAAACTCTCCTATCAAAATTCATGTCGATGTCGTAAAACGATTAGATGAGGCATAAAGAAAGGTCGATATGTGGTGAATATTATTGAAAGCAAAGCCGTAACGGGAGATGCTATCTTAGCATCATCGAGTGGAGACAGGTGT